ACATCATACATAACTCAAGCACTGGCAGGGGAGTGATGTAGCGAAGCTAACAAGCAAATTCACTTGAAAGTCTTGTTTGAAAAATCAAGATAAGCACGCGTGTCATGGCACAAGTAATTTAGTTCAGTCTGAGCTCTTAAGAAGGTAATGTCTCTATAATACGGTTTCATCTAATATTGTAATTTCGTCTATATTATATTGGTTATTGTAATTTCATTTATATTATATTAGTAAGCTGTTTGTATTATGTTAGTAAAAAATTAATAACAATTTGTGTATACAATGAAGTTTTATTTTCTTCTATTAATTTGATTCTATTTTGGAATTTGTGATGTATAACTTTTAATATATAATTACAGTTAAAATAAAATTAAGTAAAAATTTAATCTTTGTAATTGCACAACGAATTTTATGTTTAATATTTTAATTGTATTCAAGTTCTGTAATGACCTTTCCGGCCTTTTCCAAGGCTGGGGTGTATACACAGGGTATACTAGGCAGCAACACAAGACTTAGAAATTTGGTTAGGAAATAAAAAAAATAAAATTGAGTGCAACAATATAGAAACAAAACGCCTCAATAACGTTAAATATTTTTTCCAAGAATAAATAAAAAAAGTTAAAGAAAACTGTATACTTTGGAGTGTACCTCCAAATTAATTATTTAATTAATTTACAATAATAAGTATTTACCTCAGCTGTTGTGATGGTGGAAATCATCGAATGCCGCAGTGTGAGACTTGAACCCGTTTTTGTGGGTTCCTCTTAGGAATGAATGGAGAAGACTTCCACAGCAATGTGAAAACTGCATTCCAGTAATTAGGGGGGAGAGTAAGTAGATAGACTTAATACCTAGTGAACTAGGTTCATCCAAACCAGAAAGCAAGGGCATGAACTAAGTGGAAAGGGTAATAATGAAAGAGGTGGGGTTAGGGCTAGATAGCGGGGGTAGGGTCAGTGAGAAGCTTTGTGACTAGGGTCACGAAAGCCGCGATTGTAAAGGAGAATAGATGGGATAGGGATAGGTAGTGAGGAGGTTTAAAGCGTAAAGTTTGAACAAGGTCTACTGGGAGGGTACCTGAACTAGAGGAGGGAGGTCATGGAGCCGAGTGAGGTACCTACAGGCGAGGTAGTCAAGAGGTAGTCGTCAATACGAATGATCTTGGCATTGTCAAAAAGAGTGGAGATAGACAAGTGCTTGCCATTAACCTTGCGCTTATAGTTGGTGCAATCACGGAGGAGTGTCCGCTCAAACAGGCGGATTCTTTCCATCTGAGCAGAAGTGATGGTAGGCCAAATAAGGAAAGCATAGGTAAGGAGAGAACGAATAAGCTGCTTATAGCAGAGCAGCTTAGCTTAGTAGTTAAACTGGTTGTGTCTTCGGGTGGAGTATTGAATTGAGTGTGTCTGAACCGTGCGTTATGGATGGCATAGTCAACATGTGGAATAAAGTTATGGTGGGATGAGAAAACAATGTCAAGATATTTCAGCTTGGGGGCAAGCTGAATGGAGAAATTGTTAAGCCTAAGCTTAATGTTCGAGGTGCTAAAACCTCTGGGGCGATCACGCTGCTGGCCAAGAAAGGCAATGGCAGAAATCTTGGAAAGGTTGAGTTTAATATCCCACCTGAAATAGTAGTCAAGAAGAGATCTTAAGGATTAGAAGATCGCATGAAGACAAGGGAGTCGTCTGCAAAGCAGATTTGCTTAATAGGGCCCGCAGGAGAGAAATGTCTGCTAGAAACAGGTTGAAAAGAAGGAGTCCAAGAACCGAGCCCTGGGGGACGCCGGCATCGATGGGAAAATCACGAGACAGAGAGGAATCGACTCGAACCTGAAAGGTTCTGTTGGACATTGTTGGAAATTGCTGGACCACACTGCAGAGCGTAGAGGAGAAGCTGAACTGGTGAAGCTTTAAAATTAAACCTTCAAACCAGACAATATCAAAGGCTTTCAATGTCAAGGCTAAGTGCCACAGTGGGCAGCTTACTGAAAAAGCCTATACCTATCTCATTTTAAATATGATGCAGGCCATGGAAAGTGGAGGTTTCCACGTAAAGCCAAACTGATAAGAAGGAATAATATTATTCCCTAAGGAAAAGGACTTCAGCTTGCTTGCTATGAAAGTCTTATTGACCTTACTGACAGAGTTAAGGAGGGAGATGGGACGATAGCGAAAGGGGTTAGCTTTGGGTTTGCCACTTTCAGCAATGGGACATACTATGGCATTCCTCTATGGCTGGGGGAAGGAACCAGTGTTGTACGCATGGTTGAAAAAAGAGCTGGTCGAAAGTGAGGTTGAACTCCGACCTGTTGGTGCTGGGAAAGTGAAAAAATATGCGAGAGCAGGCAGGGCAACTTTGCAGTCGTGAAGCGCAAGCCTTACCGCTTGGTGGTCAGATATCCCGCTAAGAAAAAGTCAATGATACTATTGCCATGAGTCGGAACCGAGGGAGCCACCACACTTAGAATAGGGCTTACTGAGCTACTTGTCAGCCAGTTGAAGAGCCTAGTGCTACTAAAACAAGAGGCAGAATTATTCCAAAAGGGGTACTTACTATTAAAGTCAATACCGATAAGGAAAAGGTTAGGAGACAAAGAAGAGTAAATGGAAGAAGCAATAGAGTGTGTGTAGTAGATGCAAAAGATGTTGAGATCAGGGCGGTTGGAGAGAGAAAGAGTAATACCAACCGCCTTAGGAGAAACAATTGAAGGGAGGTCATTCCTAGAAAATTGGAGGGAGTCTTTTGCCAAAATGGCGACTCCCCCACCGACGCCGTCCCTATCGAACCGGATAAAATTATATTCTCTGACATCTACAATGTCTCTGATATTGAGACGTGTTTCAGTCAAGTCATAAGGATGATGTGGGAGTTGTTGCGTTCAGCAAAATCTACGAAAAGAATACGCCTAAGATTGGAGTGTATAGAATTGACATTAATGAGAATGATGCTTAGATCATTCATCTCAATGCCAATTCAAGGACTTTCTGGACAAGAAAGACTTTCTTGTCAGAATGGAGCAAAAGGCTATACTATTGTTTAATGCCTGCAACAAAGGCGAAGAATCCCTGAATATCAGGGAGAAAGGAGCCAGGCTCAGGAGCAACGGATAGAGGAAGGTTTAGCTGCCTTAGACAGCGAAATGGGAGAAGGGGTTGCATCCGCAGAGGCGAATGAGACGCCATTTCTCACGAAATTTGTTGGAGCCCTTAAGTCAATAGACATGAGGGGGGGGAGAGGGATTTTTTGAGCACGAGTTTTATTGGGACGAAGAGAACGCAGCTCCTTGTATTTGGAGCAGCGGTAATTGGCCAGATGACCAGTCTAGCCGCTGGAGTCAAAAGTTGTAGGAGGAAGTTGACACTCGCCGCTAGGGTGGGACTCAACGCAGCGTACACAACGGTGGGGGTAGTTACACAGCTTAGCTGTGCGGAAGTAGTGCTAACAGTTAGAGCACTGAGGGATCTCGTTGCGAGATTTCTGCTCGAGGGAAATGATAATGTTAGGCTATGGAAGTCGTTTAACACTAAGAAGGTTCTTAATGTCAGTGGACGAGGCAGGATAAAGCTTCCAAATGTTGAAATTAATATATCGTGAGGGGTTGCGCTTTGTATAGCGCGAAGGGGTTGTGAACTTGGAGACCTTTGAAAATGAGAAAATGAGAATTCCGGAAGATCAGTCGCCAAGGCCGACACAAGGTCATCCGTGTCATAGGACGAGAGGAAATTCTTGAGGAGGACAGAGGTGATTCTGTTCTCTGAGGGAATGGAAGCATAACTGACAACTTTCTGCTCACGTCAAGCTCATGTCAAGCTCCTTGACATTGACGCTAAGGGCTGTAATGGCTGGTGGCGTCAAAGACTTAGTGGCCAAAGCCGAGGGAACAGTAGAGAAAGTGAAGGGATTGGGTCCCACAAGAACCTTGGGAGCTAAAGAAGGCTTGGAAATGGGCTTAGTGCTAGACAGATATTTGGACTTTGGCGCAGGCTTGGGGGGACTAGTAATGCTACAGACGGCAGCTGTGGAGAAGAAGGCAAGGAAGGTATTCTCAGTAAGAAGCCGTGCGTTGTCAGCCTTAAAGGCTGCAACGGATTTTAAAACAGACGCAAGTTGCTCATCAACTTGCTTATGGTGCTGGGGATCAACGATAGTCCTGGGTCGTTTCAATGAGGGGGATGAAGAAATCGTCCTCAGATCTCAGATCAGAGCGTTGCAATGCAAACAACAACAAAAAATTACTGCGACTTGGTGAGCAAAAAAGTTCTACTTATGTGCATTTATTATATTACGCGTAATCACAACCAAATATTTTTATATTTAGTTTTGAAAAATTGTTGATATTAACAAGCTCGACGCATTTGAGTTATGGATTTTTCGAAGAAATCTCAAAATTCAATGGACGGATCATGTTACAAACAATAAAGTTTTAAGAATTGTTAACAACTATAAAAAAAGGAAAACAACCTACCTATGGCATATCATAAGAAATCCAATATAAAAGGTACTCCAAATGATTATTCAGAGAAAAATTGGTAGGAATTGATAGGAAACATGCATCAATGAATCGGCATACGAGTGGTCGGCCACTTTATAAATATAGCTAGATGCAACGAACAATATGTAAAAATTGTGAAAAATTCTAGAGTTTATTTTCTTATATATTACCAATTATAAACTTCAGTAGGTTTAAAAAGTCAACTTCAGAGTTTGAAAATATTGGTTTAAATTTATTTAATAAAATTGTTGATTAAACCGTGGAAGGGAAGAATGGCTTCATAAATAAACCCTATCAGACAAAAATGGCGATTAAAAAAAGAAAGCAAAATTTAATCCTAAGACATGCCATGACTGGCAGTTGCAATATAGACTCACACAACACCGTGCACGAGTAAAAAAAAGAAGACTTTCAAATAGCGAAATCTCTATTATTAGTATCAATATGATTTGACCGTCGCCAAAATCTTATTGTTAGTGTTCTTAAATAAAGAAAACTACTTATAATTTTTTTAATTATTTATTTGTTTCTTAATATTTTATTTAATGTTTGTTTTTGAATGATATTTTTATGTAGCTTTAATCTTTTTGTTTGGCAAAAATGTGGAAGATTTTATGGAACATTTATGCTGAGCATATAATCCAAGTACTGGTAAACACTTACATTCACTAACTATATCCGTTTTAAAAAGTGTGTCGGCTATTGAGTTCGTAACCTGATTTAACATTTTCTTTTTATCTTGCGGGTTTAGCGTGTCGAAGTTTTGCGTATTAAATATCCATCCACCATTATTTAACACGACATCAATTCCTAAGTTATTTTCGAATTGTAGCTTCGATCGCTTTTTAGCATCTTTTCCGTCAACCGTTGCGACAAGTCTTGAGTTAAAGCCTGAAATAAATGTGTTTAACATTTTTAAGTATAAACTTCTTAAAAAATTACATCAAAAACATACCGATTAATTTTTCATCCGCCACGCCTTCAAGTGACATTTTGTTAACAGGGCTAAGAAGATGCACAAAAGCACCATCGAAATTTGTGACTGCTTCAGTGAGGTGTGCTCGTACAAATTTGAACTGTGATTAAAAATGAATATTATTTATTATTAATTTTAATGTATTTCTCATATATCTTACCATATTTCCAAATTCTAATGGCTGACTTCGAATTGCAATAATACTTTTTACTGCGCCAGATCTGAATGGGTATTGAAGAGCCAGGTTAAAAGCTTTTGAATCTGATTGCGGAACAACATGTTTTACAATACGTTCAATAATGTCGTATAAATCTAAAATGTTTTTCTCATCGACCACATCAGTTATCAGACTTCTTAAATTTGAATTCTTCGGCCCGTTGAGTTGCAAGTCGACAATACTACCCTGGTAATTTACTTTTCCTTTACCACTTGTGAGTAAAGCTGGATATCGTTCTGACTCGTTATAAGCTACAACACTGATTTGCACATCATTAAATCCGCGTGTTTTAAGTGTCTCACGTATTTCCGTTACGGCAGGAGCTACAAGATTATTTAATACGGCAGGCGATACATCTACATCAATGACGAAAACTACATCGGCTTGTTTATTAGGTAATTTCACAGTAAATTCTGAGCCCAAGTCACGTTGACCGGCAGCTCCTGAACACTTAAGACATTGTGGAGGTAACATTATGATATGTTCCTTCGATTGAAGAGTAGAACCATAAGCTGAAGCAATTGTGCATGCTGCTGTTTCCTTTTCTTTTTCTGCGGCATCCGTTACAGCTATGTCACAAGCTTTACGATAGGGTAAGTTATTTTCAAATATATAACCAAGTGCTAATGGTGAATCCAAGCCAAATATTTTATTGCACAAGTCCGTGTGCTCAATTACGTCAGCACGTTTTGGGACAGTTTGACATTTACCCAAAGCATAATTATTACTGAATGTCACATAATTAGCAGCTATAGTACCATCTACTTGAATAAAATCATCTTCAGGCTCAGCATTTCCATTACCAAGAAGTCCACGAGTCTTGCTTGTATAAAAACCATTAACGTTGACGTGGCAAAGTTTTAAATCATTTGTACACATAATCTCGACGCCATAAGAAGAACGAAGCCAAATATTGCTATATGTACGCCATGCATGCATATCAACACTATGTAACGGGAATTCGACAAAGTTGCCGTTAAATTTAAGTGCGCCTGTGTCACTTAACTCCAAAAAGTTACCATCACGGTCAGCCAAAATTATTGATTTCAATTTGCCGTTATTTAGTTGAGCAACAACAGTGAAGTTATTGTTTACGCTGTCTTGAGCTAAAATGAATTTACAAGTTCCAGGATATGAGAAGTGTTGACCATCAAAAGTGAAGATATGATGGCCATCAGCAATGAGCCCCTTAAGATTAAAATCTTTGAATAATATCCAAGATTGGAAAAAGTCCAAGCGCAGAATATTTTCCCAATTTTCATTGAGTATTGAATTGAAAACGCTTACCCGGAAGGTCAGCAATGCTGGCAGCTTGTTCAAAATATCTGCAACATAAGGTAGTGTAGGAAGCACAGAATCTAATCCATAGTTCGTCAATTTTACACTTTTAGACAACTCTAACGTATCGTAAATAGATCTAAGAGCTTTAAGAAGCAACTTAACTAGTTCCTCAATTTGAGCTTCATCTTGTGTTGGCTCTTGCCGTAGTTTCATATTTATATATTCCTTCAGTTTTTGAAGAAATTCTTGAGTCTCTTCCGTTTGAGGTAAAATGTGCAGATGTTCAAACACATCACTAATCCATTTGATGACTTTTTCCGAGACTTTTAGTTTTTCAAATTGTTCCTTTAGTTCATTACGAATTGCATCAAATGTCGGTAAGTTAACAATGTATTCTTGTATTTCTTGTAATATTTCTTCACTGGCATGAATAATAGTTTTAGACAGCTCGTGAATAAATTCATTAAAGGGTTTCAAAGCTTCATTCAAAGATTTAGTGTAATTCTTTAGTTCTGGTCCATAGCGCTCAAGTAACTTCAGAGTATATTCCGAAATTTTGGTGTAATAGTTAGATATTTCAATGCGTAATTGTCCAACAACTTCATTAATATTGACTACCAATGATTCCCAAACTGGAATAATTGATTCATTCATAATTATTTCCCATTTTTCATAAAGAGCATTTAAGTTTTCATAAAGCTGTTTATATATTTCTGCAGTTGTGTGAGCGATTCCTTCAGCGGTTTTCGAAAGTTCCTTGTATAGCTTGCGGCTTCAAATATGTAATAAAATGAAACTTTGAAATAATTGTATTATAATATGCTTAAATTTACTTACTAAGACTCAGCAAATTGTTTTAGTGTTGGATCACTTTCTAACTCCTGTGCAATATCGTTTATATTATTTTGGTAAGCTTTACTTAACTCAGTAAAATCTGGAACACTTTCTTTGGCTAACTGTGCCTGTCTACCAAAAACTTCTCGAAGCTTTTGGAATCGATGTATAATATTTTCGCGTGCAGCTTCCGTATCCTTTTTAATTTCAAGTTCAGCTTTTTCCTTTAATAGGTAAACGAGAATCACACATATAAAAATTCAACATAAAGAAATAATTTATTTCAAAATATAAATATAATTCTCGAATGTTCGTGATCAATGTGTAAGTTTGATAATATGGGAAATTATATATATATATATGAAATGAACTACTAAGTTTATCTTACCATGAATAACTTAATGTCATCCGGATTGCTTTGATATGAAGTCTGCAGGAAATTCGTTGAATCTAAAGCAATTTGCCCAGTAATAAGTTGCTTTCCAGCGGTATCTACATTAAATTTCAAATTTTTTCCCAACTTGAGTTCCACACTAGCATCAAAGAGATCTGGTCTATTCAAAACAATCTTTGCAAATGTCGGTTGCAAATCTGCAACTACTGCAACAGGTTTTTGACTCAAAAATTGTAGTTTTGAATCAAATTTCATGGCATAGTTTTGGTGATTAAATTCGGTTTTGGCGTGCAAAATATGTTCGTTCATGGCATAAATTGAAGCCTCTGCATTGTCCTTGCTGGCATATAAGTAAATACTACCTTGTAGATCGTTTGCTCCTCCATGCATATCTACTCCTGCACTTAATGCTCTTAGTTCAGGTGCGAATGCCGTATAACCTGATAAATCATACTGCAATCCTAATCCAGCAGAACGTACCATATGACTGGTCGTAATGTTGAAACCCTTACCATTTACCGTATTTTGCGTGCGACTGCTGGCAACGATTTGTTGTTCGGGAAGACGGAATATATCAAATACTAGTTCAGCATCAATAAGTTGTGTTTCACGATTTGCATCTAACTTTCCGGAAAGACTCAAAGTTCGCGTACTAGGATGTTCAAACTTAAGATTACCTTTGGCATTTATAGCAACGTTTTGAACCCCACTTATATCAGTGATAAACACCACACGTGTAACATCATCAGGCTTATTAAGTTTATCGAAATAAAATGAATTTGAACTCTCATAATGACCAAAAAGTGCTCCATTAGCTGGGAATTGTTGAGTTGAACTATAAAGTATTTCACGATTTGGTAAAATTATTTGTATCTTAGAATTGTTAGGAACCACGCTGGCAATCAGTTGATATTTGTAGTTGTTATTCGAAAGAATTTTTGAATCTAAGTTATACTGGAATTTCATACCTTTTCTCAAGGTTTTAGATTGGAACTCAAATTCATAGGGATAACCAAGTTGTCGTAAATCAATCAATATTAAAATAGAGTGTTGTAGTGAATCAAGTTCTTTTTCATCAACTGACACTAAAGACTGTAATTGAATATTATTACATTGTTTCTTTTCTTCGCAGACTGATAATTTAACATTGTATTCCTTATTTGTTATTTTTATCGTAGACACTCCATTTAGAGGACCAAAGTTGCTATTAAGCGTGTAGGAAAATCCGAATTCTCTGTCGTTCTCTAATTCGTACATTTGTCGGATGAGTTTGAAGTTAACATTTTCATTTTTACCATTATATTGGACTTGCCCTTGGCCTTCAATTATAGATTTATTAGTTTCCTTTTTAAGTTGGTAAGTTGCAGAACCGGAGAAAACAACACCTTGCGCATGTTTTAGGCTAAGAGCAATACTTTTCGATTGTGCTTGAATATTTAAATTATAGTCTTGAAGTTTTAATTTATTCGAACTCCACTGAGCTAAAATATAAAAATCATCAACAGACTTATAAGCTGCTTCAGCATTAGCTTTAAAATCTAAATTAATAACATTTTCTAGTTCAACAGAGAGCTTAGCTTTCTTTTCTCCTAAAATTTCAAACAATCCGACGAGTGTAATAGGTTTTCCACTAGGAAGCGCAATTTGTATATCGAAACCATTTTTGTTTGTAGAGTGATACCATTTCGAGTCAATTTTGTGTATATCGTGATGCTGTTTAAATTTAACATTCATTGCATAGTTACTTTCATCAAGTTTTTTCATTTCAATTTCTGCATCGATTTCATTAAAAGAATCGAAACTGCTATCTATAGTAAAGTGAACTGCGGCAAAGTTGGGTGCAACGAAATTTATATCAGAAGATGACTTGACAAATTTATTCGCATACTCATAGTTGAAAGAATAATTTTGTTTGCCACTTGCTACTCCATCATCCAAATTTACTGTTTGATCACGTTTGAAGGTGGTGCTAATTTTTAAAGGTCCTTGCATTTTATTTGTTTCCAGAATCAAATTATAATTTCCGTCATTGCGACTACCTTCTAACAGCGAACTTAATTTAAAGAATTGCCCAGTACCCTGTTTTTGATCCAGCACCAAGTGAGCAATATAGTTACCATCCTTTTCGGCAACCGGCTTCAACAACTTTCCGTTTGCATTAACTCCAAACGTTTTAAATTGTGAATTTGGTGCTTGTACAACAGTCTCTATGTCAAATGTAGTTGGTTCACCTTCCTGGGCCAAATTATAATTGCCTTTAACACTTAATTGAATGTTTTCGCTACATTTAGCATTTACTCGGAATTTTGCGCTTTGCTTGTTATACTCATCTATATTTATCTTCACGTCATGTTGAGATTTGAATAGATCCCCTTGGGAAACAATGCCAAGTTCAAGCATTTTAAAATGATCATCTTTTACAAGGTGTTTTATACCATAAGTTACATCAAGTTTCTTGTTATCATAATTAGTGAAAATTAAATGAGCGTTTGCCACAACTTCTTTAGATTTAACGCTATATTTCTCCAAATTTCCATTAATGCTAAAAGAAGCCTTCTTGTCACCACGCGCGTCATTTAATGAAATTTCCATGTTACCTTGTGCTAAGCCGGTTTTAGGATTTGTAAGAACTTTACGTTTTACTAAACCATCTATTGTATGCCCATCTGGACATTTTAATACAAAATTGGCTTGAACTTCACCGTTTAATTGCCATTCACCTCTGACAGATGCGTTTGCATCAAATGTAATTTTCTTGTCACCGATTTCTGCGATATTTTTTGTAGTGAGCTTCTGTTTATCTAATATATTTTCCGTTTTGAAATTGAACTTTTTATTTGAATCAAATATGATAGAGGTCTCTACATCAAATTTCGGCGACTGAATGGTGAACTTTGAGGCAATTTCAATCTTATGTTTTGGTTCAGTCTTTTGTGTTTCAACCACAGCTGTCACATCTCCTTTACCATTCTTATTTATTTTGAAATCTGCCTTTGTAGTAAAAGCATTCTTAACATTCAAGTTTACTTTTCCAGCAGTCATCTTATCTTGAATATTAACGTCCGCACTGCATTTGACAAGCTCAGCATTGTCTCGCATTATCTTAACTTCTGTGTTTAGTTTTTCTGGAGTGCCAATAACGTTCAAAGTCCATTGAGTTTGTT